AAAAAAAAGTTTTAGAATGCTAAAAAATTCAAAGATTAAACTGGGGTAGGAAAATCAACATCTTTTGGAAACGACTTTTCCAGTTTACGTGGTATATTCCCAAGTCCTTACACTGTATACTTCAGGCCCGACATATCGTTTTCTTTATGTAGGTTTTGCATCTTTATTGTGAGTTGGATGCTTTTTAGTTAATTTTTTGTTTGTTTTTGCTATAGGAACCTTTTTTCCTTCAAGTGTATTTCCCGATTTGTTACTGTAATATATAGGACTAAATTTTTGGCTTCTGGTTATTATCTATAAAACTCCTCAGGGCCGAGGCAGGAGGATTACCTTAAGGATGAGGCTACCCTGGGCTACAGAGTGAGTTCAAAGCCAGCCTGAGCTACAGAGTGAGACTCTCTCTCAAAAAAACCCCAGAAAACAAAAATACCCCACTTTTCAGTAAAAGGTTTCCATAGTGATAAGTATAGGCTCAACAAAGCTAAATAAGATTTGTTCACTGCAGGACTTTTTTTTTATAAACTGGGGCTGGAGCTGGAGGATCCTTATGAGTTTGAGACCAGCCTGAGCCAGAAAGTGAGCTCAAGGCCAGCCTGAACTGCATAGCAAGACCCTATCTCAAAAAGACAAAAAAAAAAAAAAGAAAGAAACCATATATATATATAAACTAGGGCTCATATTCAGAGGGCACTGAGCCGTATACCTAGCCTTTTATTTTTTATGAGACAAGATCTTGCTAAATTGTCCAGACTGGCCTCAAAGTTGTGATCCTCTCACTTCAACCTCCTAGGTAGCTGGGATTACAGGTGTGTACCACTCCTGGTTTATACTTTTAACAAAATTTTCTAACAGGAGGCTAAGGAACTGTGTACTTAGCTTGGCTATGGAATCCTTTGTCAGAAAACATCCCAGAACATACTCTGGGACACAGTACACCTACACACCTGTCAGTGTGCAGCTGGGCGTGGTGGCGCGGGCCTGTGATCCCAGCACTCGGGAGGCTGAGGCAGGAGGATCATTGTGAGTTCAGGGCCAGCCTGGGCTACAAAGTGAGCTCAAGGTCAGCCTGAACTATATATGGAGACCCTGCCTCAAAAAAAGACAAAAAACAGTACAAAACAAAACAAGACCTGTCAGCGTGGGGGTCTCCACTGAACCTCTTCTGATCCCTAGCTCCCATCCTCTCTCCCTCAACCAGAACAGAGGACAGTCCAGTGTCAAAGGGGATGCTTTAATGAGCGTCCCGAGAGCGCCCTGCCTCTCACAGCTGCTGCCAGCTTCCTCTGTCCCCTCCTCTCTGTTCGGCGGCAGGTGAGCTCGTTGCTCAGGGCAGGGATCAGGAGTCTAAGGAGTGAGTGGGGGGCAAAGCTGTCCGGCCCTGTGGGGGCAGGGCACTCCAGGGTCAAGGGCCCGCGGGCTCAGGCCGGCCCCTCTTCAGGCACTCCTAGCAACGCCACCAGCGGCTCGAGCGGTATGGGGGTCCCCACGGGCACAGGGTGAGTGCGTTCATGCTTGCGCAGGTCGCTGGCACTTAAGAAAGCCTTGGGGCAGTGGGCACAGGCGTGGGGGCGCACGGAGCTGTGCGTGCGGCCGTGCTTGCGCAGCCCCGCCCTGTCGGAGAAACTCTTGCCGCACTGCGCGCAGGGGAAGGGCCGGAGCTCGGGGTGCGAGCGCTCGTGCCGCCGCAGCAGGGTCGGGGTGGGGAAGGTCTCTTTGCACTCGCGACAAGTGAACTGCGGGGGCTTCTCGTCGGCCTCCTCAACCCCGGCCAACCCCAAGGGCCCTGCGGCCTCCCCGACGCCGGGCCCCTGGCACTCCACGTGCTCCACCGTCATCCCTACCACCTGCCACTGCGTGGCCATCACCGCGCTGGACTCGGGGGGCAGCCCCAGCAGCCCGGCCGGGGGCTCGCCGAGGCCCGCGGCTGTGCCGGGGGCGGCCGGGCCCTCACCTGTCACACCGACCGGCAGCGCCAGCCCGACCACCAGCTCCGGCGCGGCGGCCTCGCTGCTGCGGTGGGTGCGCTCGTGCTTGCGCAGGCTGGACGACACCACGAACGACTTCCCGCAGGCGCCGCAGTGGAACGGGCGCTCGCCCGAGTGCACGCGGCTGTGCTTGGTGAGGCTGGCGCGCTCGGCGAAGGCGCGCCCGCACTCCTCGCAGCGGAAGGGCCGCTGGCCCGAGTGCACCAGCGCGTGCCGCTTGAGGTCCCAGGACGCCACGAACGTCTTGTCGCACTGCAGGCACTTGAAGGGCCGGTCGCCCGTGTGCACGCGCCGGTGCATGGCCAGGTCGGCCGGCTGCCGGAAGTCCTTGCCGCACTTGTCGCAGCGGTAGGGCTTCACGCCCTCGTGCGCGCGCTGGTGGCGCCGGAAGCTGGAGGGGTCGGAGAACATGCGGCCGCAGCGCGGGCACAGGAACGGCTTCTCCCCCGAGTGCGTGCGCTCGTGGCTCTGGTAGGAGCTGAGCTGCGTGAAGCCCTTGCCGCAGGCCGGGCAGCGGTAGGGCTTCTGCGCCGCGTGGATGCGCTGGTGGCAGGTGAGGGACGAGGAGCGGGAGAAGCTCTTCCCGCAGTCGGAGCAGAGGAAGGGGCGCTCCCCGGTGTGCGACCTGCGGGGCAGCGAGGCGGGGTGTGAAGGCGGCGGCGCCCTGCAGCCCATTGGGCTGTGAGCCTCAACACCCCCGGGTTTCTCCCCCTGACCCCCTAAGCTTGAGAAACCTCCAGGCAAGACCTCGGCGCACACCACCGACTTGACCTGCGCAAACGACGCCTTATCCACACTTGGCTCCCCCGACCAAATGCTGCCAGGCTCCACGGCAGCGCTGCACCCTAACCAGCGCGCCCCGCCCTTCGGAGCTGCATCCCAAGGCGCCCCCACCCCACAACTAGGAGCCCTCGCGCAGCCCCGCCCACCACCTCCGGGGCTCCGCCCTCCGCCCCGCCCCTCCGCCCTTAGCATCCCGCCGAGGGTGTGCAGGTGCCGAGGGTGTGCAGGCCGCTTACCGCTCGTGGTTGCGCAGGTCCTTGAGCTCCGCGTACGCCTTGCCGCAGCGCTCGCAGCCGTAGGGCCGCAGGCCCGCGTGCGTGCGCCGGTGCTTGCGAAACACCGAGGGGTCGGCGAAGCTCTTGCCGCAGTCGGTGCAGGCGTAGGGCCGCTCGCCGGTGTGGCCGCGCTGGTGGATCTTGAGCTTGGACAGCGCGCCGTAGGCCTTGGGGCAGTGCGCGCAGCGGAAGGGCAGCTCGCCCGCGTGCGAGGCCAAGTGCACGCGCAGACACACGGGCTGCATGAAGCGGCGGCCGCACTCCGGGCACGGGAAGGGCTTCTCGCCCGTGTGGCTGCGCCCATGGCTGCGGAGCTCGGGCGCCGTCTTGTAGGCCTTGGGGCACAGGGGACACGCGTAGGGCCGAGGCTTCGCCGCCGAGCCTGACCCCTTCTCCTCACCAGCTTCTTCTCCCTTGGCTTCGGTGTCCTGCTTTGGCTTCACCTCGACCGCCTCCTCTGCGCAGTCTGCAGGCACATGCGTGGCCGCGTGGCGCGCAGCCCTGGGAGCGTTTGGAAATGTCTTGGTGCAGGACAGGCACTTATAGCGGCGGCCACAGCGCTTGTACCCAGGCGCAGGGGACCCGGCTTCCGTGGCCTCCACTTCCATGGCCTTGGTGGGTGGGGCTTCTCTGCAAGACAATCACAGGCCAAAGCCAAATCCCTTCGCTGTTCTTCAAGGCCTCGAGGGAACCTTTCTCCGCGCATTTCCCGCCGGTGTGCTCAACACCAATGCACACCAGGGGACGCCCACGGCCTCCCTGTCAACCATGCCCTGCTCCCACAGTCCTGGTTTCTCCTGTGCTCTGCTCACTTAACCATTTTTTGTTATTTACTTTTTTGGGTACCAGGAATCGAACTCAGGACCTTGCACTTGCCAGGCAGGCACTTGTGCCACTGACCTATGTCTCTGGCTGCTCTGCTCACTAAGGGTAGGAGTGGACCCGCTGAGGGGCCGAAGGGACTAGGAGAGAGGTCTGACATTACAAAAGGCCCACCTGTACCCCCCCATCCTCTGGGCTTTCCCAACACGAGGCCACCCCCAGAATGCCTGGGCTCCATCTGTTTCACCATCCTGCTGCTCAGCTCGGTGACCAAGGACTCGCAGGATGCAGGTCCCGTCCAAGGTGACAGGGGCAGAGGGTAAGCAGCTGTGGGCCTGGCCCAGTCTCTAGATGCCCAGGGAGACAAGCCTCAGTCCCCAAGATGGCTACGTGGAGTGGTTTGCACCGTGCGGAAGCGGTAGGCCTCTGGCTGGTCAGCTCTCAGAAATGCAACTGTTCACAGAGGACTGTGGCATTGCACCCTGGAAGGGACTCCGCCCCAGACAGGAATCCTAGTCCTCCCTCTGCTTGGGAATCTTGCTGGGCTCCTGCCCCCATAACTCTGGTGGTGGGGAGCTCACTCTCTCAGCCAGAGCTATTGCTAGCTTTGTCCCAATCTATACATCTAATCTAGTGAGGCCTCCTGGACACCAGCTCTAGATGAGCTCCCCACTCTCTGCCCCGAGTTCAGACACTGTCCACCCAGCTGCTCCTAGGATCATGGTTGGAGGAAATAGGATTAACAACTGCATTAGCTTTAACACTGGCTCATCCGCCCAAGGGCATGAAGAGAAGAGGATTACGGCAGATCCACTTAAGGAGAGAGCAGCAGCTGCAGCGGGGGGAGCAGGCCGGCCACGGGAGAACCAGGTGTGCCCAGCAGCTGGGCGGCCCGTACTCCACCGCCAGCGCTTTGGATAACTGCGAGGGCTCAGTGGGATTTGGAATTGTTTTAGGCCTCTTTTCCCCGAGCACCTCTACAGCTGGAGGTTTCCAAGACATGGCGCTGGGGTTGAGGAGGGTGGAGCACAGCTGAGGCAGGAGGATGCTGAGGGAAATACAGATAAAGGCAAGGGCACAACTTATCTAGTGGACCCAGGAGCTCCTCCCGTGAGTGGCAAAGGCTTCAAGTCAGCACACTCCTGCCTGAAGGTCCTGCCTCAGTCCCGCCCTCTGCCCTGCCCCTCGCCCCATGCAGCCAGTCAGCTCCCTAAAATATCCTGTGATGCCCCCATCCCCTGGTCACGAGCTTTCCATGGCTTCCATACTACGCAAGTCCGCAGACTCTCTCTGGTTATTCCAAATCCTACCAGGGCTTCATCTGAGCCCCACTTCCCTGGGTTCTTCCTGTACATCTTTGTGTTTGGGCCCCGATCCCACATAACTCCACTCTGCCCTCAACTTGGTTAGTTCACTTTCGCCACTAACTCCTGGGGTGTGAAGCTGGATTAAAGGGCTGGCGTTTCTTCTTTTTTTTTTGTCTTTTTGAGACAGTCTCGCTATGCAGTTCAGGCTGGCCTTGAGCTCACTTTAGTAACTCAGGCTGGCCTCAAACTCACAACGATCCTCCTGCCTCAGCCTTCCAAGTGCTGGGATTATAGGGGTGCACCACCACGCCCGGTATCTTTTTTTCTTTTTTTGTCTATGGCTGGTGTTTCAACCACACGAATTCATCTTGTAGTTCCTAAGGGATTCATCCCTATCTCTGTATGAGAGACTCACTATCTCCTACCAGGCCATCACTGGACAGTCTGCTTGATAAAAGTTTCTCCTTAGGAAAAGTAATAAGCTGGGCATGGTGGCGCACACCTGTAATTCCAGCACCGGAGGCTGAGGCAGGAGGATCATCGGGAGTCCAAGGTTAGCCTGGGCTACAATGTGAGCTCAAAGCCAGCCTGAACTGTACAGCGAGACTCTGTCTCAAAAAAGACCAAAAAAACAACAACAAAAAAAAACCAGGAAAAGTAATGGTAGCATGCCGGGGTTATAGATTAGAGGCAGAGCACTTGCCTAGCATAAGTAAGGCCCTGGTCCAATACTCAGCTCACGTTTACTAAGCACTTACCAAATTCCAGGTTGTACCCTATGCTCTTTATGTGTACTGACTCACTTACCTTCATGTCAGCATCATGAGAAACGTTCTTTTCACAGATAAAAGATCTGAGGTCCAGAGCAACAGCACAGCACTGTGCTTAAGCACACAGTCTTGGAAGCCAAAATGCCCAGGTTCAAATCTTGCCTCCATCACCTCCCAGCTGATGTGACCTTGTGCAATTTATTGTATGTCTGAGGACCTTGGTTTTCTCATCTGAAAAATGGGGGTAAAAATAGTATTTACCTCAGCGGGTTGGGTGAGGTTTGTTTTTTTGTTTTTTTGGTTTTTTGGTTTTTCTCCGGTACCAGGAACCGAACTCACAACCTTGTGCTTGCCAGGCAGGCGCTTTGCCACTGAGCTAAATCCCCAGCCCCTTGGGTGAGGTTTGAATGAGAAAGAATAATTACTGTCCTCAATTATTGAATCTTTTCAGAGCCAGACACTTTACTGACCATGCTACCTTATTAATTCTCTTGCTTCCTCAGATAGGAATTTCATAGCCCCCATTTTACAGATGAATAAACTGAGGTTCCAAGAGTAACAGGACTTGCCTACCTGCACAGCTTGGACTTGAAATTAGGTTTTTAACTCATATTTAGTCATCAGGCCCTTGCCCAGTGATCTGAGACTTCTCAAGCTTTCTGCTGCCAGGGCAGCCCTATCATGACCAGAACCCTGAGCTCAGGTCACACCTATATCTTCTCTCATCCCTACAGAACTGCTCTGGGATCAGAACCAGCACCCTTTACATTTCAGGAGACTGGGTCTGCTGCTTCTGAGCTTGGGCCCTATTCTAGCCCTTGACAGCTCCGGGTCTGTCTTACACTGGATCTGTGAAACAGAGACCAGGTTGTTGGAGCGATAAATCCCTGCTAAGGCACTCCCCAGGGAAATGGTAAGGGAGTGTCTGGTGGGTCCCTTTGGGCATCCAACTCCATGAAAGTGGATAGCCAGGTAAGCTAGGTCCGTGTAAATCTACTATTAAATCTTCACTGTGCTGAGGACTCTTCTTAGAGAGCTAATTCTCCAAGCAAAGTCTGTTCAGTCCCCAGTATTAGAATAATTATCTAGGGAGCCTGAGGCAGGACACAAGTACCTGTATTTTAAACAGTTTCTGGCCCGGCGTGGTGGTGCACACCTGTAATCCCAGCACTCAGGAGGCTGAGGCAGGAGGATTGTGAGTTCAAGACCAGCCTAGGCTACAAAGTGAGCTCAAGGGCAGCCTGAACTACATAGCGAGACCCTGTCTCAAAATGACCAAAAAACCAAAATCAAAAACAAAAAAAACCACAGTTTCTGGATCATTCCCAACAGTTAAGAATCAAATACACATACATGTAGCTGGGTGCGACAGTGCACACTTGTAATCCCAGCACTCCAGGAGGCTGAGACAAGAAGATCACTGCAAGTTTGAGGTTAGCCTGGGCTACAGAGTAAGACCCTATCAAAAAACAGAAAAAAAAAATCAAATACATGGGCTAGGGGTTACCTCAGTGGTGGAGTGCTTGCTCAGTACGTACGAGGCTCTGGGTTTGATTCTAAGCATTCAAGAAAAAAAACAAAACAAAACAGAAACAGAGTTAAAGCAAACAAACAAACAAACAAAAAAAGCCATGTGTGGTGGTGCATGCCTGTAATCCCAGCACTTGGGAGGCTGAGGCAGGAGGATTGCCTCAAGTTTGAGGCCAGCCTGGGCTACAGAGTGAATTCAGGCTGGCCTGAACTACACAGTGAGACCTTGACTCAAAAAAAAGAAAAAACAAAATATCAAAGACATATCCTTAGATGTTTACATGCTCCTAGCAGAAAGTCATTTTTACTACATCTGTTTTCAGATGTGGAGATTAAGACCCCACAGGGAAGCAATATATACAAGGACAATATATACAGGGTCAGATTTAAACTCAAATCTTCAGGTCCATACTTTTAAGTAAAATAAGCTGGACGTGGTGGCGTGCACCTGTAATCTCAGCACTCGGGAGGCTGAGCTAGGAGGATCTTTGTGAATTCAAGGCCAGCCTGGGCTACAAAGTGAGCTCAAGACCAGCCTGAACTGCATAGCGAGACCTTGTCTCAAAAAGACACAAACAAACAAACAAACAAAACCCCATACATCAAATCCCTAGCTCCTACTGTAACTGAATTTGGAGACAGGTCTTTGCAGAAGTAATTAAGGTTAAATGAGGTCAAAAGTGTAGGAGTCTGGTCCAATAAAATTAGTTTTATAAGAAGTGACAACACAGAGAAGCAAAATAACTAGTAATAACAGCCAGTATTTAAAGCCAGCTAGTCAGACTCTCAAACTTCTACTGTCTTCCAACTATTACTTTTTTTTTTTGTCTGTTTTTTTTGAGACAGGGTCTTGCTATGCAGTTCAGACTGGCCTTGAGCTCACTTTGTAGCCTAGGCTGGCCTCGAACTTGCAATAATCCTCCTGTCTCAGCCTCCTGAGTGCTGGGATTACAGGTGTGCGCCAACTATTGCTTTGCTAGCACTTATACTTCTGTTCTGGTTGTTAACCTATTTATGGTGAAGATCAAAATTTTTTGAATTTTTGCAGGACATTCATATATACGCTCTAGAAAAATCCAAGGAACAAGAATTTGAAGAGAACACATTTCACTATGTGCCACTGTTATGAGCATTCCAAAATTGGATCCCTAGGCACTGAAGGGTTAATTATCTGTCTCCAGCACTGGGTGTCCAGGCTGAACAGCCCAGAAACTTGACTCTGTGCATCCTCTCTGCCCAGAACGGTTTGGCCACCTGAGGCAAACAGCACGAATTGACTTCACACGGAATTCAATCGCCTCTGCAGCCTCTGCAGCCTCTGCAGCCTCTGCCCCTCCTGTAGGAGGAGTGTGTGGAAAAAGTCAAGGGCTATTTATGAACTCAATTTGTCCTCCTTCCCCAGTTGACAAGGTCTGAATATCACCTCAGGGTTCCACAGCAGGCTCACTAGTGTGATCACCTAGTAGGGGGTGCAGTTCTGCTGTCTCACCCTATGCAGAGACTCACTTCCCCAAAAGGCCAGGCTGAGGCCTTGGGGGCAAGGATGAAGTGAAAAGGAGACTCATCTAAGGCTCACAGGTCAGCAATCTGCACAGCTGTACTCTTGGTCTAAAACCTGGTCTGTTTCAGCCCGGGCTTCAGTGACAATCTCTCCCTCTGGTCATCGAGCCAAAATCCTCCAATTTGGACCCCTCTGTGTGCCATAACCTCTGCCTAGTGGACTTCGCTTGCCTTCTTGCAAGGGAAAACTCTTTTTGCATCCTCCGAATACTCCATACTTAATGAAAAAGACCAAAACGTGGTATGTCTATGTACCAATCCTCCACGATGAATGTATTTATTATGTATCGCAAACATATACCAACAAAGAGGGGGGTACTTAGCGGGCAGTAGAGGTAAGGGATCCGCGGTGCTCTGGGCCTCAGTTTCTTCGTCAGTGAAATGGGTTCCTGAGGCATACGGGAGACTGAAGGGTGTGAGGGGCCTACCAGGCACTCTGAGCAGGGCCAAGGGCTGCACAAGTCCTGCTTTCCTCTCTCTGCCACCGTGTGTGTTGGTGCTCGGGCCAGACAGGCAACTCCCCTGGGCAGGGCCCTGGGCTGGACTCGTTTCGGGATAAACCCTAGGAAAGCGTGGCCGCAGCGAACACGGCAAGCAAGCGTGAAAGAAGAGCGAGGGTATGAAAAATGAATGAACGGAGGCCCGAAAGCGGACAAAGGCTCCGCAAGATGGCGTTCTTTAGGACCGTAGGTGGGGCGGCCAGGGCCTCCGCCGAGGAGGGGGGCCACCGGCGCCGGGGACCTTGCGGGCCGGCCGCACCGCGGAAACAAAAGCCCGCAACATGGCGGGCTCTAGGACCCCTGGGCCCGCACCGCGCACGGCCGCGGCCGCCTCGGCCGAGCGTAGGCAGCGGAGCAGCCGGCCCGCGGGCACAGCCGGCGGGTTCTAGGACCTGCTGGGCCCGGAGGCCGCCCCGGGCCGCTCGCCGCCCGCCCCGCCCGCGCCGGGCCAAACCAGCGCTCCCTCGCTGCCCACAGGGAAACTGAGGCCGGCTGGGACGACGTCCGCGCGGGAGCCACCCCAGGCCCTTGCGACTTCTCGCCGGCGTCTCTTACCTGAGTTGATCTGGACCGACTCCGCGGCGTCGGGATTAGCTCCTCTGGCAGACAGAAGCCCGGGCTCCACCAGTGAAGGGCCGGCGCTAGGACCCAGCAGGGGGCAGGGGAGGCGGGGCCGGCGGGCCAGAAAGCGGAAGTGGAAGGGAGCTTTCCCGGCGGCGGAGGAAGGAAAAGTTTGCAGCTCCAGCCTAAGGTGGCGGAGAAGCAGCTTGCAAAGGGTCTCTGGGTGCTAAGGGGAGGAGACGCCGGCAGATTGACCGGATACACCGGCCAGGCCACCGAAGTGTCTCCAAGACCTAAAAGGTGGGAGGACAGGCCATGCTCAACCTAAATCCGCTTATATTCCACATTTCTTTTAATAGTAAGGAGTAACTTTAATGGGGTTTCCTCATCAGTCTTACGAAGTCTTTCAGCGAGCCCATGAAAAGTGTCGCCAAAGTACTGTTGCCAGGGTTGCAGGATCTTTTTTTTTTTTTTCTTCTTCATCTCATTCAATATAGACCGGAACGATTTTAGCATCTCTGGACGGAAGTGTGGCTAAGGTAGTTGCTAAAACCGCTGTGCTGCGACCTACGTGGGCGGAGTCAGAGTTAAAAGCGCAGCCGGAGCCTCGCGCCGGAAGTGTGCGCTGAACCACTACTAGGAGGCGGGACAGGAAGTGTTCCTGAGGCGGAAGTTTCGCGGGGAACCTTTTGCCTCAAGGACACTTCCTGTTTCCTAGTAACAATAGGAAGTGTCCGCGGAGCTGGGGCTAGACTCCTAGCTTATCAGCTATACTTTCTTCCCTCTTATTTCCTTCCTCTTCTCCCTTATTCTTTCAGTCTTTTACTGCCCTGTGGCCTCCCGGGAACTCTGGATGAGTGTGCGTGTATGGGAGCGCGAGAAGCCTCCACAGCCACTCCTTGGGGTGCGCGGCTGCAGTTAGGGTAAGGGTCTCAGTGCGCAGGCGCGCTCCCGTTCGCGGTCCCCAACGGACTCGCTCGCGGCGGGAACAAGAAAGGGTTGTTGGTGTGAGGTAGGGGTCCTGAGAGGAAACTGGCAAAGGAGTTAAGTGACTGGAGAGGACTTCATTGGTTGTTGATTTGGAAAGGGAACTGTGGAGAGGAGAAGCTGTAGGAGGCGAGAATTCCAGGGAGCAGGTTCAGTGAGGGGGTTTCGTGTTGGAGATAGTCGTATTGGGGTCCCCTAGGAGTTGGAAGAGGCCAAGATGATATGGGAGGCATGAGGAGCAACTACTGAGAAAGCGCTTTGGGATGAAGATTCACTGGATTCGCTCATGCGTAAACTGGGTTAACAGAAGAAGCGTTAGGTGTTGTGAGGGGTTGGTGACACAGTGATTGCGTTTACCGCAGTGCCTGGCACATGGTAATACTTAACATGATTTGGTGTCATCATCAGCATTAGGAGAGGAAATTGAAGAGAAAATGAGAAATGATAAGAATAATGGGATAGAAAAGGGATGAAATGAAATTCTCAGCTTGAAATGGGGTGAGACTGATGGACAGTAGTTTGAGTAAAGGAAGTGGCCAAAAGAATCTTGGGAAAGAAACCTTATTGACATGGTGAGAACTAGAGGTGTGGAAGCAAGCCAGTCTTTTCTCTGATGGGAACCTCTGCCCTCTCAGTCCTCAGCTGTCAGCTGGAGAAAGTAGCTGCTTTTTCAGGCTTCCAGGCTACTCTTGCTGCAGGGTAAAAGAAAGACGATTGGACATTTGGAAAAAGACTAGTTTCCTTGTAAGATGCCACAGGAAACTTTTATACTTTCAGAAGTGGAAGTGTAGAGGGTTAGGAACATAAAACCTTTGGAATGTGGTGTAAAAAGCATGATAATAGTACTATGATCTGAAGTAGGTTATCTCTGTAGACTGTGGTTTCCTTATCTATACCTCTAAGGATAACTTAAACATAGAGGAGCTCCCATATTTGGGGAGCTGTGCATGGGGAGGTCTTAAACGATGATACTTGCAGATTATCTCTAGCAGAAAGCAAGTCCCTGGGCACTGATACTTGGGGAACCTCTTGGTAACCTCTGGTATACTTATTGCTCATAGAACCAAGGTAGAGTTAATCCAGGCCTTCCTTTTGACCACTGCCCCCTCTTCCTAGGCCCTTACACCAGAGGAAGATGCTACTGCTACCTGTCTACTCCTCCTGAACCTCCAGCTTTCTGTCACATTGCCCCATGGAGGATACACCCCTCTCCTTCAGCTGCTCTGACTGTCAGCGCCACTTTCCTAGTCTCCCAGAACTTTCACGGCACCGAGAACTGCTCCATCCATCTCCCAATCAGGATAGTGAGGAGGCTGACAGCGTCCCTCGGCCCTACCGCTGTCAGCAGTGTGGGCGAGGATACCGTCACCCAGGGAGCCTGGTCAACCACCGTCGGACCCACGAGACTGGACTTTTCCCCTGTACCACCTGTGGCAAGGACTTTACTAATCCCATGGCCCTCAAGAGCCACATGAGGACACATGCTTCTGAGGGCCGCCATAGGAGCAAGGAAGCCACTCTGCATCTCCAGAGTGAGACAGTGTCTCTTGACTCCTGGGGCCAGAGGCTTGGCTCTGGAGAAGGCTGGGAAAACCAGACAAAGCATACAAAAGAGACACATGGCTGTGAGTCTGGACCTGACCCCAGGACAACTCCAGGCACTTTGGAAGATACACCCACCAAACAAAGAGAAGGCTGGGAAAGCCAGCCAAATCCTGAGGAGGGTACTGAGCGCTGGGGTCCCACCACTCACTCTGCCAGAGCCCCGCCTCTTCCCACTCCAGCCAGCAGCCTCCTTAGCAATTTGGAACAGTACTTGGCTGAATCAGTAGTGAACTTTACAGGTGGCCAGGAGCCCACCCAGTCTCCTCCTGCTGAGGAAGAGCGGCGGTATAAATGCGGTCAATGTGGCAAGACCTACAAGCATGCTGGGAGCCTCACCAACCACCGCCAGAGCCACACTCTGGGCGTTTACCCTTGTGCCATCTGCTTCAAGGAATTTTCTAACCTCATGGCTCTGAAGAATCACTCCCGACTCCATGCCCAGTATCGGCCTTACCACTGCCCCCACTGCCCTCGTGCTTTCCGGCTCCCCCGGGAACTGCTGGAACACCAGCAGTCCCATGAGGCTGAAAGGCAAGAACAGCCCTGGGAAGACAATGGGATGCCCACCACCAACGGGCACACAGATGAGAGTGCCCGGAACCAGATACCAACTACACAGATGCTGAATGGCTTGGAGCTCAGCATTTCTGGGGAGCTAGAAGATAGTGGCCTGGAGGAGTACCGGCCTTTCCGCTGTGGAGACTGTGGCCGTACCTACCGCCATGCTGGCAGCCTCATCAACCATCGAAAGAGCCACCAGACAGGTGTCTACCCGTGTTCAGTCTGTTCCAAGCAGCTGTTCAATGCAGCGGCCCTCAAAAACCACGTGCGGGCTCATCACAGACCCCGGCAAGGAGCCGGGGAAGATAGGCAGTTGTCGGTGACCCCAGCTTCCCTGCTGTTAGCTGATAGCACTCACAAAGAGGAAGAAGCCCCCACCACCACCCCGGACTATCGCCCCTATAAATGCAATGAATGTGGTCGGGCTTACCGTCACCGGGGGAGCCTGGTGAACCACCGCCATAGCCACCGCACGGGAGAGTACCAGTGCTCGCTCTGTCCCCGCAAGTACCCCAACCTTATGGCCCTTCGCAACCATGTAAGAGTACATTGCAAGGCTGCTCGAAGAAGTACAGACCCAGGGACCCAGGGTCCCCCCAGTCACCTCAAGGTGAAACTTTTGCCTAACTCGGGGGCAGCAGAGCCAACCCCGCAGACAGATCAGGGACACATGTGCAAACACGAAGGAGGGCCTGTCGGTATCCCCCCAGCAGCAGGTACAACATCCCCACTGATATGCAGCATCTGTGGGATGCCCTTTGAAGATCGTGAGAGCCTTGAACAACATGGCCTGACCCATAGGGAAGGGGAAAATAGCAGGACAGAGAGCACAGTGTCACCTCCTAGGGCATTTGCCTGCAAAGACTGTGGCAAGAGCTATCGACACTCAGGCAGCCTCATCAACCACAAGCAGACCCATCAGACGGGAGACTTCAGCTGTGAGGCTTGTGCCAAGCACTTCCACACCATGGCTGCCATGAAGAGCCATCTGCGTCGCCACAGTCGGCGGCAGAGCAGGCGCCATCGGAAACGGGCTGGCAGTGGGGCAGAAGCCAAGTTCCCACTAGAAGGGCCCTGGGCCCACGCGGTTGAACACAGTGTGGGTCTGGATTCTTCCCAAGACACTCCAAAGGAAAGTCCTTGTGAAACTAAAGGCAGCTTGGAAAATTATGGGGACTGTTTGCAGGCTCAATCTGAAGGTGACCATTGTGGGCTTGAGAGGGATGAGGCCTGTTTCCAGGGTGATAAAGAGAGGGGAGGCACTGAAGGAGGACTGGAAGGGAGGGAAACCTGTTTCCTTGACAACTTAGACATCCCAGGTGAGGAGGAAGCCAGTGGGACTCACTTCTCTGATGGCCTCACTGGGGTAGATGTAAACCAGAAAACCACTGGTGAGCCTAACTCATCTTCCCACTCTGCTGAAACTGCCAGCAGCTGGCAGACTGAGGTCACTCACAAGTGCTCTGACTGTGGGCACTCTTTCCCCCATGCCACTGGACTGCTGAGCCATAGGCCCTGCCACCCACCAGGCATCTATCAGTGTTCCCTCTGCCCAAAGGAGTTTGACTCTCTGCCTGGCCTGCGTAGTCACTTCCAGGACCATGGGCCAGGGGAGGCGGCCTCAGCACAGCCTTTCCTCTGCTGCCTCTGTGGTATGATCTTTCCTGGGCGGGCTGGCTACAGGCTTCACTGGCGCCAGGTTCACAGCTCCTCAGGCGTGACTGAGGGCTCAGAGGAGGACGGGGAAGAAGGAGCAGCAGAGGTGGCCTCTGCTTGTAGCCCTCCACTACAGCTCTCGGAAGCAGAGCTGCTAAATCAGCTGCAGCGGGAGGTGGAAGCACTGGATGGAGCAGGTTATGGGCACATCTGTGGCTGCTGTGGTCAGACCTACGATGATCTGGGGAGCCTGGAGCGTCACCACCAAAGTCAGAGTTTGGAGAATCCCATAGATAAGGCTTCAAGCCGCCCAGAAGCATCAGGTGATGCTACAGAGATAGCTGCAGACAGTGTCCTTGAGGGCGCAGTGCCTTCTCTCTCTGGAGAGGGTGAAGACACAAAGTCTGAAGAGGGAGTGAGTGACACAGTTGTGGACAGCCTTTGCATGCAAGTTGGTGAAAGTTTCCTAGAGGTTCACCCTCGTCCCTTCCGCTGCAACCAGTGTGGTAAGACCTATCGCCACGGGGGGAGCCTGGTAAATCACCGCAAGATCCACCAGACTGGAGACTTCATCTGCCCTGTGTGCTCCCGCTGCTATCCCAACCTGGCTGCCTACCGTAACCATCTGCGGAACCACCCTCGCTGCAAAGGCTCTGAGCCCCAGGTGGGGCCCCTCCCAGAGGTAGGGTTCAGCAGTGAGCCCCAGAATGTGGCAGAGAGGGGGCCAGAGCAGGCAGAAATGGAAAAGCTCCAAGAAGAACTTAAAGCAGAGCCCCTGGAGGAGGTGGCAAGCGTGAAAGAGGAGAAGTGGGAGGAGACCCCTGTGAAAGGGGAGGAGATGGAGCCACGGTTGGAGACGGCAGAGAAGGGCTGTCAGACTGAGACCAGCGCTGAGCGGCCTTTCAGCTGTGAGGTGTGTGGCCGCTCGTACAAGCACGCTGGCAGCCTCATCAATCACCGGCAGAGCCACCAGACCGGCCACTTTGGCTGCCAGGCCTGCTCCAAGGGCTTCTCAAACCTCATGTCCCTCAAGAACCACCGGCGCATCCACGCAGACCCTCGGCGTTTCCGCTGCAGTGAATGTGGCAAAGCCTTTCGCCTGCGGAAGCAACTGGCCAGTCACCAGCGGGTCCATGTTGAACGGCGTGGCGGTGGGGGGACCAGAAAGCTGATTCGGGAAGATCGGCCTTTCCGGTGCGGGCAGTGCGGTCGGACCTACCGCCATGCTGGCAGCCTCCTGAACCACCGGCGTAGCCATGAGATGGGCCAGTATAGCTGCCCCTCTTGCCCCAAGACCTACGCCAACCACATGGCCCTGAAGGACCATCAGAGACTACACTCTGAGAGTCGGCGGAGGCGGGCGGGGCGGTCCCGGCGGGCAGCTGTGCGCTGTGCGCTTTGTGGCCGTGGCTTTCCTGGCCGGGGATCTCTGGAGCGGCACCTGCGGGAGCATGAGGACGAGGCCAAAGGGGAGCTGGCCGGGGGCCAGGGAAGCTCAGATGGCACAGAGGGCAGTGAGGGGAGCTTGGCCAACAACCAGGGACTAGAGGGCAGATCAGGGGGTACTGAGTCGGTACCCCAGCTAGAAGATGAAGCCACGAGGCCGGAAGAGCATACTCAGAATCCAGCCGGGACGGCAGACTCAGAAGCCACAGATGCAGTGACCTGGGGCAGGGGAAAAGCAGACGGGTGGCAAGGAGAGAGAGGACTGGTCAATCACAGTGGAGGCTGGGTTCCTCAGGGCCAGGCGTTGACCAAGCCAGAAGCCCAGTCAGAGGACAGCGTCCCCAGGAGTCCTTGCCACGTTGCCGACGGTCAACCCAATGGACCTAGTCTAAGTCACGTGGATGGCTGGGGTGATGGAGATAGCATCTCTCAGCTCCCACCAGAAAGCCACTCCTATTCCTGCTGCCAGTGTGGCAAGACCTACTGCCAGTCAGACGGCTTCTTGAACCACAGCACCCACAAGACAGACCTCCACTACTGCCTGCTCTGCGCTGAGGAGTTCTTAAATCCCATGGCCACGAAGAGTCACAGCCACAACCATATAGCTGCCCAGGTTCTTTCCTGCCCCGACTGTGGCGTAGCCTTTGAGTCCTGCCATGAGCTGGCCACTCACTTGCAGACGCATGCCACGGGCCGCAGTCAGGTGCCAAATCAGATGGAAGAGGCTGGAACTGTAGAGGACAAGGTGGGGCTCCCCGGTCAAGGGAAAGCTCAGGAGGCCCCCTCAGAACCCCTCAGAGCCTCAGGAGAGGATTCCAAGCAAGCTAGTGGAGAGCAAGAAATAAACTTCACAGGAGCCGACAACAAGGAGCGGCCCTTCCGCTGTGCCCAGTGTGGGCGCTCCTACCGTCATGCTGGCAGCCTGCTGAACCACCAGAAGGCCCACACCACTGGCCTCTATCCCTGCTCCTTGTGCCCCAAACTTCTGCCCAACCTACTGTCTCTTAAGAACCATGGCAGGACCCACACAGACCCCAAGCGCCACCGCTGCAGCATCTGTGGCAAGGCCTTCCGGACAGCTGCCCGGCTGGAGGGCCATGCGAGGGTCCATGCACCCCGGGAGGGGCCTTTCACCTGCCTCCATTGTCCCCGGCACTTCCGCCGTCGAATCAGCTTCCTGCAGCACCAGCAGCAACACCAGGAGGAGTGGACAGTGGCCAGCTCTGGTAAGGGGGGTTTTCGCTTCTGGGCCTTTTGGCTAAGATCAAGTGTAGTATCTGGTAAGGGGGAATGAACAGAGGATTGAAGGGTCCCAGAACCCTTCAATGGGGAGGGCCACCTGGGGCACTTGGAGGGCAAAGCTGGGTCCTGAAGTGAGTGGCAGAGCAAGGCGGGAGAGAGTCACATAGATTCCAAGAGGTGGTGGGGACCTAAAGGTCGAGTGGAAAACAGGTTGAAGAGGCTGCCTTTTGAGCAGCTGCGATCTGCACTCTTGGGTTAGATAAACAGATGGCCTAATGGGGTGGGCAGTGTAAGAGGAGAGGTAGCGGTCGTAGACAGAGGCTGCTGGGCGGGCTCCTCTGCCACGGCCCAAGAGGAATGGCCTTTCGGTTTCGGCTTGGGCTGGGTTCCTGGGCACCACCTGGATACTGTGTCTGGAAACCCTCCTGACTGAGCTGGTAATGTTTTCTGGAGAAAGAGATGAAGCCATCAGTTTTGTCTGGGTTCTGTTCTAGAGTGCACAGGGAGCCAGGAGGCAGGGAAGGGAGCTCCAGGATGCCTCGGCCTCCGTGCAGGCAGTCGGGGATGGCCTTCTGGGCTTCAGGGCATGTGGGGTCTGCCCCCTCAGTCCGTGACCCCCACTGACAGGACTGTTTTATGGCGTCACTGCTGACTTGGCAATGGAAACTGCGTCACTGGTCAATATTCAACTCTCTCTCCTGACATCTTATCCTTACTCTCCTCCGCTTTTCTTGGGAACTAATTTTTTTTCCTATAAACATTGTTCCACCTCTCTTTTTCTCCCTTTTAGTCAATTCCTCTCTCTGCTGTAGGTTTTTTTGTTTTTATGTTTTTATTTATTTATTTAAGTTTTGAGGCAGGCTCTCACTTTGTAGACCAGGCTGGTCTGGAACTCACAGCAATCTTCCTGCCTCAGCCTCCCACGTAGTGGGGTTAGAGGTATGCGCCACCGTGCCCAACTGTAGATCTTTTTAGACTCCAACCAAACCACCCTTTTCACCTGCACACACACATCACCCCCCCCACCTGGCATGTTTAATTAGAGACCTGAGTCACACATAATTGTTCCTTTGAAGCCAGGCCCAGCTATAGCCACACGGTCATTAGGCCCTATCTCTCATCATCTTATCGGAGGGCATCTGAGTAGACTCCCTCCACCCAGCCCACAGAGGATGAGATGTGGAGGGCAGGGCAGGGCCGACCTGTCCTCCCCAAGCCCCGGGCTCCCTGCACTGTGGTAGAGGAGAACCCATTCCATGTAGTGGCCACCAAGGATGATGTCCCTGAGATGGTGAGTCCTTGGCCAGAGCTTATCAGGGAAGGGGAAGAGTGGTAGATAACGTTCCCTTCAGAGCGGAAGGGGTGGCTCTCAGGGCGGAAGATTTCTTGTGAGAGGCCAGGTGGAGGCCGGGTAGCCAGGGCTGGGGAAGCTCTGGGGAGTCTTAGGGTTCCTGGGTTCTCCGTGGGGTCACAACAGGGGGCTGGCTTCTGGGCTGGGAGGTGTGCTGTCTGCCTCCTCGGTGACCTCCTCTTTCTCTCCCCAGGAGCTCCAGCGGCACCAACAGCAAGCAGAGGGGACTTGTCATTGCCCCCTGCAGTCACCCTGACAGCCCCACTCCTGGACCCTTCACCCCAGTGGCCTGCAGACCTCAGTTTCTCCCTCTGAACTTCCACATCTCCAAAGATCAGAACGTTGGAGCGCGGGTGTGGGCAGGGCCGGGCTTGATCTCCATGTTTCGCTCAGGAGTAGCTTGGGCATCCCCAGCTCTTCTCTCCCCCTGTGACGAGTACCCAGATCTGGCTTCTTTCCCGAGAAGGGAGTGGGGTGTTTCTCATGTCCCTGTCATTGAAGGATCTTCTTCCCCCAGCCTTCGTCACCATGCTTCGCCAGGATGCCGGCGGCCCTTGCTAGCTAGATTGCAACACCAGGGAAAGCAGGTTCAGAGAGCCCATGGGTGGGAATGTTGCCTGTGAAAGGGGAGCCTTTTGCTACACTTTGTAACTTATTTTCTAAAGTCTATTTTGTAACAATTTATTTAAGTTTTAAAAAAGGAAAATTGCTCCCCCCCCAAAAAAAAAGAAATTTTCGAAACAGCTGGCTGATGTGATTGTGTCTGAGGGGGGAAGGGTAGGGACAGCAGGGGACACCTGCGTTGGAGAGCAGAGCCACGTGGGAGCACCCGTGGGCGACATCCCTGTCCTGCAGGGTGAGGACTGGGGCACCTGCTGGTTCTTGGTAGGCTTCTGCCACAGCCAGATGGGCTGTTGGGCCGCCCCAGGGCCTGGAACACACTCGGGGGCACGAGGAGGGGCAGGCACGGTGACATGGGAGGCGTCTCACTTTTCCCACGTCCTGTGAACAGCCTAGAGCGTCACTGTCAGCAGCTGGCCGGTTGGCCTATCAAGGAAAGGAAGAGCAGTGCACTTGGCTTTGTCCTCGCAGCGTTTGTTCCCTCCCTTAAAGGAGGAGGCTCTGTCTTGGCATCCGCACACCCAGTTCCACAAGGGGGAAGAGCCACAGCTAGAATGCACGTGGTCTGCGCCCTGCTACAGCCCACCCGGCGCAGCTACAGGTGGGTCGGATTGACCCACAGGTCTGGAACGGGCAGGGAAGCCCCAGGGACACTTACGTGAGTTGGCCAGGCAGCTCCCAGCCTCCACCTCAGGCTCGGGCGCCTCTTCTTCGGGCTCCGGCTCCTCAGCAAAGTAGACCTGCCAGTCTAAACTACTGACCCAGTCCTCATAGGCGGGCAGCGCCGTGAAGACGGCGGGCCTCACAGGGCCTTGGCAGGCATCTCCAAAGCTGTGTAGCCCGGCCAGGAACCATGTGCCCCTGACCTCACGCAGCAGCGGTGCCCCCGATAGGCCCTGTCAGGGATCAGTGGCGATGAGTTCTTTCCCCCCCTTACGCAGCTGTGGGAGGGCAGGAGGGGCTGAGGGGCTGGTTACTGGGGGCTGGTCGGCAGCACGGACTAGCTCTAGTGAGACGCAGGCTGGAGGCCAAGCGTGGCATGTGGTGAAAGGAAGCCAGGGGTCTGCTGGCCAAGGTTTGGAACTGGGGCTCACCTCACAGTGGGGCAGCTCGCCCACAGCACTGGTGCACACCATCCCTGGCAGAATGGGGATGCCGTCACCCCCAGGGGCTGCATGTAGCCGGCCACAGGCCCTAGGCCCCAAGAGGGTCACAGGGACTGTCTGCAGGGAGCTCAGGCCTGTAAGGTAAGGGAAAGAGAGGCTGCCCCAGCGGCCTTTAGGCTGGATGGACAACTGCTGGTAGCCCCAGTCCTACGTACCTGCTTCTTGGGCCAACCCCAGGACCCAGCCACGTTCCCCGTCAGGCAGGCGGTGGTCAGCATAGGGCAGGCAGAGGGGTCGCAGACTGGGACCCAGTGTCACAGGCTGGGCTAGCAGCAAGAGGGCCACGTCATAGCCCCCTTCTGGGTGTGTGTAGGCCCCGTGCAGGGTGAGTTGCTTCAGGCCCCGTTCCTCTGCGCCAGCCCCCAGCCCTACGCTCCATTCTTCCAGGGTCTGGCGCCTATGCAGAGGAGCATTGATTGACAGCACTGCGGGGCTGGGCTGGGATAAGGCACACAGAGGGAAGGGCCGCGGGGCTCACCCGATGAAGCAGTGGGCCGCTGTCAGCACCACCTCCTCTGATACTAAGGCTCCCCCACAGGCCAGCTTCCCCTGGTGCTTCAGCCTCGCATCCCAGGGCCACGGAGAAGGGGCTCCTGCCAGGGGACCCGCTCCCCTCAAGGATCCACAGGCTGAAACAGATTTCATCATCTGACTTGTTAAGCACTCACCCGGCCCGGCACTTGCCAGTGCTGTTAAATCCTCCCAGCGTCCTTTTAGGTTCACTTGTGTTACCCTCATTAACAAAGGTTCCAGGAGGTTAAGTGACTTCCTAGCTCTGTACCAAAAGCAATTAGTAGCAGGCTTGGGATTCAAAAGTCAGAGCCTGGCTGGGCGTGGTGGCGCACGCCTGTAATCCCAGCACGCAGGAGGCTGAGGCAGGAGGAATGCTGTGAGTTTGAGGCCAGCTTGGGCTACATAAGCAGGCTCAATGCCAGTCTGAACTATATCGTGAGACCATTTCAACAAAACAAAATAAAACAAGCCAGAGTCTGAGCTTTTTAAGCCTGGGGATCTGAGAGTACTTTGTCCCAGTCCTCCAGAAAAGGCCCTATTCCTCACTTCCCAGACCCCTGTCTGCATTCCTCTGGGGCAAGACTCACTCCAGAGTCCCAGTGCTTCCCCTAACACCAAGACGTCCCTCCTTCCCAAGTATAAGTTTGCATGTAGTTTGCATGTTGCTTGCTTCCTGCCAGGATTTTGAGTGTGAGCGCTGCCTGTTTGATCTTGCTGGGTCCCTGCCTGGAGGCTTGCTACTTCTTTAGAAAACCTTCATCCAGCTGAGTGTGGCGGCACATGCCTGTAATCCCAGCACTGGGAGGCTGAGGCAGGAGGATCACCATAAGTTCAAGGCTAGCCTGGGCTACACAGTGAGTTCAAGGCCAGCCTGCACTACAAGGCCAGACCCTGTCTTATAACAACAACCAATCAAAAGCAAAAACCTTCATATCTCAGAGATCCCTCTTTCCGAAACTCCAAAGCCATCAAGCTGCAAAGCATGCCTGTCAGCCTTAATGGGGTTTGTGGGCTGAGGCTGGAGTCTAGGGGGAGGCAAAGGAGCTGGGGGCTGGGGCAGCCAGGGGCTGAGGCTGCCCTGGAGGAGCAGACTCCCTCTCTGGGCTTAAGTCTAGGGCACCACTTAAAAACCCCCTTAGCCCTTCCTTGGCAGTGTGTGGGCCCTGTATCAGTTCTCTGTTCTGACTGAAGTTTGCTTCACTGGCTCCACCCGCTGCCCGGAGGTCCTCAGACAGGCTTGGGCTTCCCCACATGTCCCACTCCTCGCACCCACTGCGCGTACCTACACAGCTGTCCTCATCGCTGGTCTCCGGGGTCCCTGGGTTCTGGGCCGGAAAGGCTGCCCCCTGAGCACGCGCCTGCAGCCAGGAGCTGTGAGCAGCGGTGTCGGTCAGGAGCACAGGCGTGTCTTCCTGGGCACATCTGGATGCGAAGCTGATGATCCCAGCCTGAACCCAGTATCCACTGGGCTCTCGGCACAACACAGGGCCCCCAGAATCTCCCTGGAACCAGGCAATGGAGCCTGAGCCACAGGCCTGCCTGGGGATACACCCCTGACTATAACCCATCCTTCTCCGTGGTTGCACCCCCAGTTTAACGCTAGGCCTCCCCTTCGCCCTTCCCTTCTCCTCCCCCTCAGACCTGGCACGGTCCCTGCACCCCAGGCTGGGCACCCCCACACAGCATCCCGGGCCGGGCTGGGCTGGCCAGCAGACGCTGGTGCAGCCGGTTGTAGAGACAGTTACATGTGGGGCGGCTGATTAGACGCAGGCGCAGGTTCCGGAGGGTCCTGGGAGCTGCGAAAGGGATGAGGGTGAGACTGGAGTCTAGGTTCTGGGAGGCCCAGGGCACTGGGGGCTGGGACAGTTGGGAGCCGAGACGGTGACCTGGGCAATGGGACTACCTCTCCGGGCTTAAGTCTGGAACAGCACTCACCATCACTGGTGTCTTGATCCCAACCAGTGGCCCAGCAAGAGGCTCCAAAAGGGAAGCGATGGGCAGGTTGGGGCAGGCAGAGGGGCGTACGGGTCGTGGGGTGGGCCAGCCGTAGCAGGGCCAGGTCTGAGCCCTGGCTGTAGTGGTTAAAGGCCCGGGGCAACTGCAGGGCAGCTACCCCCACCTCCTCAGCCCCTGGACTCAGCCCCTCACGCTGCAGAGAACCCAGGACAACGGACCAGGAACTCAGTTCTGTTGCTGCTTCCCTGGAATGGGAAGGAAAGGCCTGGGCTGTTGGAGTGCAGGGGAGACAGTGACACCCCAAGAGATAGCACAGGCAGCTGAAGACCGACAGATAGTCTGGCGCTTCAAGCACAGTCCTCTTTTTTCCAACCTCAGTTTATCCATTTATAAAGCTATCACGAAACCGGGCGTTTTGGCGCACGCCTGTAATCCCAGCACTCCGGAGGCTGAGGCAGGAGGATCCTTGCAAGTTCAAGACCAGCTTGGGCTAGAAAGTGAGCTCAAGGCCAGCCTGAACTGCATAGTGAGACCCTGCCTCAAAAAGACAAAAAAAGAAAAAAAAGCTACCACGAAAGGTTGTTAAGGTTAACTTGATAATAAATACCTGGCACAGGACAGAGACTTAATAAATGCTACTTTATTCTAGGGACAGGGATCAGTCTTGCAGGGCATAGGGACAAATCATCCATCTCCAATGCCAGAGACCTGTCTAACCCCGCCATGACTCACTTTTCAAAGCAGTGGGCAGCCGTGAGGACCCAGGTATCTGCCACCAGGGAGCCACTGCAGATGTGGACTCCCTGCCGTCGCACGCTGGCTTGCCAGGGCCATTCTCCGGGTAGTGTGTTGCCCTCCTGAGGCGCAGGGGGGCCGGGTCCACGCTGCCCACATGCTGTGGAGAGGAGTAGGTCATGCACACAGCAGACCCTTGTCCGGCTTCACCCCAGGCCTACCCCAGACCCAAGTCCTCAGCGCTTTCCCCAGAGCGCTGAGCTGCTTGAAGACCTGGGAAGAGATAGACGCAGGTGAGACTTGGGCGCTTTACTCTCGGGGCCCAGGTTTGATGGAGGGGGGGGGCTGGGGTGAGCCCCGGGTTCCTACCTATGACTCCACAGACCTCACCAGCCCCTCCCAGAATGAAAATATATGAGGTCGAGAAGTAGCTTTTATTGGAACCCGTTCAGAGTACACACGCAGTAATTAATTCTCCTCCCTCAGCTTTGCTCAGCATTCTTGGGCCTGAGGAGCAGGGCCCGGGGTGCAGCTCGGCACCAGGCCAACCCCCCTCCAGGCTTCAGAACCCCTACTACTTCCCCCACTGCTGAGTCACAGGTGGCCCAGTATGTAGTAAGCCTTAGCTTAATTGTCCCTTCAGCCATGGAGGCTTTAAGTGCACAGATTAGAGGCCTTCATCATGTTCAAGTGGTGAAGTGACTCACGCCACCCCTGTCCTAGCGACTTGAACTCCCCGTCTTCCCACAAACTGCCGGAGAGCCCACCGGAGGGTCGCTGCCCTGCCTCGTCCCCTGTGTGCATCACGGGTGCACACAGATAGGCCCACCGGACATCCGGGGCAGCACAGCCGAGACGTGACAGAGGAAGGATGGGGGAGAGGGAGCAGAAACCGCCTGAGCTCACTCTGGGAGCAGACAGGCAGGCAGGGTGCAAGGAACACACGGAGAAGCATGACAGTCCCCGCGGACACTAACTGGGCCCGAGAAAGTCCCGGCCACATTTTTTCACACAGGTGGCCCTGTATGTCCCTCCACACACACACACAGCCACACACAGGTATCGCCACATGCGGATGCTGGCCCACCGGCGGGACCGAAGCGCGGGGGCTGGAGGGGCTGAGTGTGGCCTGTGAACGCCCCACCCCACGCACGCGGATGGCTTACCCTCTGTGAAGACCAGTGCTCCCAGGATGAGCAGCCCTGCGCCCCCGCTGTGCCTCATGCTGCGCCCGGGCCACTCTGCCGTCCCTCTGTGCTCTGGTTCTCCCGGGCCGCCTGGGTCTCCCTGGCTCCACCTCTGCCCCGCCCCCAGCTGGCTAGGAGTCAGGCGTCATTGCTTTTTTTTGGGCTGGAGGGAGCCAGCAGCTCTTAGCTCTGGGGCTGATCACCACCCATCTTCAGATTGCTGCGGAGACAGACTGCCCTGGTTCAAATCTCCACTTATCACTCCCTTGCCCTTGGACAGTTAACCTGTCCGCGTCTTGTCTGAAAAACTCAAATGAGTTGTTGGATGTAAAAATGCGTAGACAAGAGCCTGGCTTCTAGTAGACTCACTGGCATGGGAGCACCATCGTGGGGCTGTGAAGGCCACAGGAGGCAAGCTCCCTTGGTTTCCACTTTTCAGCTTCCCTGCATCTCAGGCCAGGACCAGGTGAGTTTCAAATACCTCGTCCTCATGTCTGCTTCCGAGGCAGAGTGCGCAGGATTAGGTGTTTGTTGGACTGAGTCTCTGCTTCTTGCCGGCTGTGAACGTACGGTAAATCCCAGCACCTCTCTGGGCCGGCTGCCTCCCCAGGAAACAGAAAACCTTTCTTGAAAATGGGGCCATGCGTGGTGGTGCACGCCTGTAATCCCAGCACTCGGGAGGCTGAGGCAGGAGGATTGTTGTGAGTTTGAGACCAACCTGAGCTATAAAGTGAGCTCAAGGCCAGGCTGAACTACATAGCGAGACCCTGTCTCAAAAAGATACATACACACACACACACACACACACACACACACACACACACAAAGGAAAGACTCTCAGTCGGAAAGAATCCTTTATCTCTTTCTGACTCATAACTCATGCCAGCTCAGACCGTTCAGGAACCCTGATCCTAACCCAGATACAGCGGTGGGTAGTTTACTGCAGACACTGAAGCCAGATGGCCCAGGCGAACTCACACTGTGGTATATGGGGCTGGGGGTAGCTCCGCGGCCGAGTGCTTGCCTTTTTTTCAGTGCATGTGTGAGGTCCTACACTGAAGGGGGAAAACCCCCAGATCTCTTTAACCCCTTCCCTACACTAAATATGTGATCTTCGGTAACTTAGCCTCTCTGTACCTTGATGTCGTCGCTGCTATGGGCATGCTAACAGTACTTAGCTCATAAGGGCCGGGGATATAGCTCAGCAGCATAAGCACCTGCCTGTGCAAGTGCAAGTCCTGAGTTCGATTCCCAGTAAAAAAAAAAAAAAAAAAAAAAAAAGTTAAAAGTGTGCTGTTCAGTATTAAACAACAGCAACAAAAACAGTATTTAGCTCATATAGTTGTCACACGGATTAATTCATTTACACATTAACATAAGTTCTTAGAACAGTGCTAGGTCAGGGATATAATTCAGCGGTATAAGTGCCTGCCTGGCAAGCGTAAGGTCCCGAATTCGATTCCTGGTACCAAAAAACAAAAACAAAAAACAGTGCTTAGCATGTGGCTAAATCCTCAGTACATATTAGGAAAAACAAAACAAAACAAAAAACACAACCTGGCCCTGGCCCTGGCCCTTCTGGCCTACCAAGACTGCTGTGGATTGGCAGATAAGGCAGCTGGAGGGATTATGGTTAGACTACAGGAAGAAGCTCCCAGCCATGCACGGAGTCAGAAGGGCAGTGTGCCCTTGCAGGCGCATGTGTGACTCTCTCAGGAAAGGAGTGCTGGCTCCTGGAGGCAGCAGGGACAAGCTGCCAGCCTATTTTCTGGGGGTGGGGGCTGACAGTGCCCCAGGCCTTGCTGACTGTACACGCTGGAGTGAGACTAAGAACAAACACCCTTCCTGGGCAGGCCTTCCACTCTCCCTGTGACTCACATGCTTCAGTCTTCCAGGGAAGGCAGCGCTGGGGAAGCCCAACACTAAGGTCCTGACAGACAGACGGTTCAGACGTGGCCAACTTATTTAGGAAATTTTATTGCTTAGAACCTTCTTTCCCAGGGCAGTAGCAAAAACCAGCCCTTGGAGAAAGAGCTAGAGGCACATTTGGTCCACTTTCCTCTGTGTGATTATGGACAGGGTAGGGGAGAATGCAGGGCCTTCAAGGGACCCAGGCATGGCCTGGTGGGGCAGGGCTTAGGCCACAGCAAAGATGAGGTCATCCCAGTTTAGGGTGAGGCCTCAGTGCCGCTTGGCCTTGCCCTGGGGTTCCTGGACCTCTCGGAAGCTAAGCCACATTAGGCCCACATTGATAGCATAGGTAGTGATGCAAACAATGCAGAAATCATAGAGCACGAAGAATAGGATCCAGGCTAAGTAGATAGAACCAGCAAGGGACACCAGGGAACTCAGCACCAGCAGGATAGAGGCCCAGCGTCCCCGCAGGCAACCTGCAAAGAAAAAAAGGGTCAGGAATGGACATCTCCAGAGCTTGCCATGACTTCCTTGTGCCGCCCACATAAGGGGCTGCTGGGAAGCTAAAGTAAGAGGCTCACTGTAAGACCTCGCTTCTCCCATCTGTTCAGTGACCCCTGGGACCCAAACAGACATACTGCCTGTTGAGCTCTACATGACATGAAAGTCATTTTTACTTTTTTTTGTTTGTTTTCCGGTACCGGGAATCGAACTCATGACGTCACCAACGTCACGCTTGCCAGGCAGGCACTGTGCCACTGAGCCAAATCCCCAGGCCCGAAAGTCACTTTTAGATTTCCCTCCAAGAGGAATTTCTGCTGGGCGTAGTGGTGCACGCCTGTGGTCCTAGCACTCAGGAGGCTGAGGTAGGAGGATAGCTTCCAGTTCAAGGCTAACCTGGACTACACAGTGAGTTCAAG